ATTAATAATGAAAAACTTCAAATCAGAAACTATGAGACACATTTAAAGTATGATAAGAAGACTCTTTATAACCTTAAACCCTTAACAGGAAAAGTAAAAGAACAAAAATAGATGAATTATATTTCCAGCTAAAGAGGTTTTGAAAAAAGTAAACTAAAAAAGCACGAGAAAGGAAATAGTAAAGATGCTGTGTTAGAGCCATATAATTTCCAATATTTGGCAATGACAATGCTGAAGTGAATAACTTGTGCATACATATTTTTGTACTGTGAAAGATATATGTTTTCTTTTATGCTTTAAGAACTAGACAGAAATAATAATATACAGTCATCTAACAAATTAGAAGTGTTCTAGAACTTGGATTAAAAGCAACACACATACGACAACTCTAGATATTATGAGAGTAGAATGATTTTAAGTAGACAAGCTGTAATCTTTCTGATGTGAAAAATCAATTATACTATTTAGAACAAGGCACACAATCATTGCTAACCACTAATTTCTGAATAAATGAATTTCAGGCCATCAACAATTCAGTTTCTAATGAGTTTAAGATAACTTCTATAGATATCTTCTACGTCTAAATTGATTCATTGCCTTCCACCACAGAGCACTGTCATATACTCTAATAAGAAAGCTTTAGTCTGTAATCCATGTGAGTAAAAGATAAGTCATAGAACTGAATGCAAAGACTGACAACACTTTTAACAGGAAGTATAAGATTTTCAATAGTAGGGTGGGATCAAGGAGCCCACTCTAGTAGTAGTAATCACTACTTGTAAGAAAGCAATAACCTAATGCTGAGATGATTAGCATTTATGCCCTGGATATGTTTGAGGGATACTGATTCTTTACACTTTCATTTGTGAATCAATATCTTTTTATATTAATAGAGCCTAAAAAAGAAACAAAAACATTCTTGTTGCTTGGTTGATTTCTAAAATGTCAATGTAGATTTTTTTTTATTAAGAGAAAATAATAATGAAAGAAGAAGATGGCATCATCATAGAATTGTAGAAGTAAAAATAGGTCACTGTCATAAATACTTATTCAGTTTTGATATTTATTACTGTTAATCACATACCACCTTATGATAAAAGTAAAAAATTTTTAATACTTCATTCAAAAGTAAGGATCAATACAACCACTATGTTGAACTTTATGTGCACTATCTCATTTAATCCTTACAACAACCTATGAGGTAGGTAGTATTTTACAGCAGAGGAAACTGAGAGTTAGCCAGGCTAGTCACTTCCCCCATGTTGTGCAGTTAGTAAGTGGCAGACCTGGGATCTGATACTGGGTCTGACTCTGTAGCTCACGTTTTTAACACTGGTGCTTTTAAATGAATTAAAGCTGTGGTCCGCAACGCCCAGTCCAGGGACCGGTACCAATCTGCGGACTATTAGGGACCAGGCCACAGAGCTCCACCACCCACTGCCCTCCCTGGTCTGTGGAAAACTTGCTTTCCATGAAACTTGAGCGGGGGTGGGGGTGGGGGTGTGGACAGCAGGTGAGCGGCAAGTGAGCAAGTGAAGCTTCACCTGCACTTCATCTGTATTTACAGCCGCTCCGCATTGCTCTCTGCCCTCAACCTGCGGAAAAATTGTCTTTCATGAAACCAGTCCCTGGTGCCAAAAAGGTTGAGGACTGCTGAATTAAAGGATAAATACGCTGTACAGCCTAAATGCTTTTTAAAATTACAATAGGAGAGTTAAATTCTATATGAATGCATTTATGAATCATATTTTTTATAATGCTTCATAGCTTATCCCAATCTCTACTAATATTCATTGTCAACTGTTTACTGGGCCTTGTCACTCACCATGCTCACTTAACCATCACGACAACCCTACAAGGTAAGTAATGTTATAATCCATGTATTACAGATGAAGAAACTGAAATTTAAAGAAGAAAAGTGCTCCACTGACACCACACAACATGGATTCAAACGCAAATGTTCCGGTTCCAATCTTGAACAAAAATGTTATGCTACCTCCACTTTTGGCAAAATAGCTAAATTTGTCTTTAATCAGCAATTACTGATTCTTTACTGATTAAGTTTCTAAAAAAGTAATACAACTTCTGAGAAATACCTGGTACTGGACATATTATAGGAGGAAGTGAATATTTCTCATTTGTTCAACGAATGTTTACTGACACCCACCAGGCGAGCCAGGCATCATTCTAGGCCAGTGGCGAATGAAGGAGACAAAGTCCTTGCTGTTTGAGTTTATATTTCTTTCCTGAAATGTTTATAGATCATAAACACGCAAAAGGCAGGCAAATATTTTGACATTCATAAAATGTTATCTGAACCACCACTTTAAGTTTAGTTCATTTGTGAGGCAAATCACTGTCTAGCTAAAGCCCTGAATGCCTCCATGAAATTCCTCACTTTCTCTGTCTGGGACTGTGTTCTAGCCTGTCCACTGAAATGTATGCCTTTGGACCCAAGAGAGACTAGGGGAATGAATCCATTCAACTCATTCTCCAGGACTGGGAATCATCTTGATACTATTCAACTTTTATGGAGTACTTAGGAGCTGCATATTAACTATAAAACATAAGGAATAAGGGGGAAAATGTTAAATGTGGTCCTGAAGAAAGAACACTGATACAGAAACAACTAGGGCAGCCTGAAAACAACCCATGCTAGTCTGAACCAGTTTGCTAATACTTCCTTCAAGAGTTGGCTAAATACACCCTCTGTAAGCCAGCACCGAACTCCTCAGGTACAGTTAGAGGGTCCTTGTTCTATGTGCATCCATTGTACTTTGTGATAGCAAGTAATTTGATTAGCAACATGTCTATGTATGTCTTTAGGGAAGTACTAAGTAATCAAAAAGTTGAATGAGTGGGCTTTCTTATTTTAAGACTAATCCTATCAAGCTCTAAAAATAGAAATTAAAGGAAAGATCAGAAAAATTAAACATATATGCTTCTTACCTTCAAAGACAGGGATCCAGCTAGAAAAAAGTGGTCTACATCAATAACAGAGGCTAAAAATCCAGCTAAAATGATTTCTCCAAAGTCAGTCTTCTTCTTGATTCCAATGACTATTGCCCACGACCACATGCCAATCACACAATGTACTGCATTATCTGAGAAGGCGCGAAGCCAGTCATTCTGCTGAACTGTGGAAAACTGAAGAAGTCTGTCAGCTACGAGGCAAAATATCCCCAGACCGAGGCTGGAGATAAGGGATTCAGTGCTAAAAGACTGGAGTAAAGCATGGGTTTTCTCAGTCTCAGATGCCATATCTCAGTACATACTACAAGCCATCAGGAATGAATAGTCTGTTCTTGTTTACATCCCCAGTACCCTAAAATAGAAAGCAGAGAAAAATATTAATGACGATTATTGATTGTCATATTATATTTAAACAAAATAATATCAGCAATAATTTCAGAAATATAAAACCACGTTGTAAAAACTGGCATCTCTTACATGTGAT